AGAGAGATAGGCTGTCATTTCTCTTTATTAACTCGCTGGGGTTAAAGTGATGGGGGAATGAACTAAGGTCATCATATAAGATTCCAGGCCATGGTTTAAGCTCTTTCGAGGGTCAAACCACACTAATATTTTCGATTGTTTTCTATCAGCTCTAGGATGTCATAATTTTCCCATGTGGCTTATTTTCGTACATGTGTTTCTTTGGAATGCTGGAAGGAGGTACAGTTATTGAGGGCATTAGCGAGCGGAAGGGGGACAGACCTTTTTTAAAAAGGATTCATTTTTTTATTTAAAGAACAAACAAACAAACAAAAAATGGAAAGAAGAATGGGAATGAAGTTGCTGTCTTGTAAGGGGTTTTATTATTTGTTTTGTAAGATGGATCATTTCAACGATGGATCGCTTATGATATTTTTTTTGTTTGCATAGTATTTTGCTACTCGTGAAGTCGATACTGTGTTTGGTTGAAATGGCATGTTGTGCAAGGACACAAAATGGTTTAGAAATTCTAATGTCGCTTTTGTGGGACGTTAGTCATTGAAGGGAGCGGCTGGTCTGGCCAATGTAGCAGGAGTTGCACTCTGCACAGGTACATAATAGACGACATTAGTTTATTCTAGTGGGGCCAATGGAGTTTTTGTCTTAGAAAATAACTTTCCTAAGGTTCTGGTATTTTTAAGCCTATTTTGACAGGTATGTTTTTGAAAAGTTTGTTAAGCTTGTTAGTGATTTGTGGAAAGTACGGGAGCGAAGCATATTTGTGCTTTGTTCAGGAGTGAGAGGGGACTTATTCATCTGTATTTTGTTAGATATGGACGCTAATGTTAGACCGTTGGGTGTTTCAGTAATGGACTGCCCATAGCTTTTGGAATGTAGAAATTAATCGATCATAGATTTCGGATAGGAGTTATCTATGAGAATGGACTTCAGTCGATTGAGAGATTCTTCTTTGTAAAGCGGGTGTGTCAACATGTGTACTCTAAGGTTGAGGGCTTGTACCAGGTTAAATTTATATCTGATTGGGTGTGTCGAATGGTAATTTAAGAAACGGTTGCTAGTCATTTCTTTACTGTACCAGGTAGTGACTAATCTAAGAATAGAACAGAAGGTAAAAAATACCAGAACCTTAGGAAAGTCATTTCAAGACAAAAACTCCATTGGCATCACTAGAACCACTGCAACTCCTGCTACATTGGCCAGACCAGCCGCTCTCTTCAAGGTCGACTAACGTCCCACAAAAGCGACATTAGAATTTCTAAACCATCTTGTGTCCTTGCACAACATGTCATTTCAACCAAACACAGTATCGACTTCACGAATAGATATATCACTCTCTCATCATACAAAACAAATAATAAAACCCCTTACAAGACAGCAACTTCATTCCCATTCTTTTTTCCATTTTTTGTTTGTTTGTTTATTCTTTAAATAAAAAGAAAAAAATATATCCTTTTTTAAAAAAGCTTTGTCCCTGTGTCGCTCGCTAATGCCCTCAATAATTGTACCTTTTTTCAGCATTCCAAAGAAACACATGTACGAAAATAAGCCGCATGTGAAAATTATGTCATCCTAGAGCTACTAGAAAACAATCCAAAAGATTAATGTGGTTTTACCTCGAAAAACATTCAAAGTTTGACATTCAAATGAGGCGATCGGTTAAAATTAAATTAACAATAGTGTTCTTAGAGTTTTTTTGTATTTTTTTGTTTCGTTTCTCTCGTTTAGCTGTTAATCTTTAATGTTAAGGTATCGTAGAGTTTTTATAACATCTAAAAAACCTACAAATTGTTTTTGTAAGTATGAACTCTGTTGGTTGTTTACTTATATTCTTATATTCTAAAATCTATAGAATTACCAGCTCAAGAATGGCACTGTACAAGATTTGCAATAGCAAACACCTGGAACCTCATCTATCAACCACTAAACTACATGAACATTTTTGCAAAGGTATTTAATGAGGAGTTTAAGATTTCCTTTGGATGCGCTAGAAAGGGTATCCAAAAATTCTATAAACCAGTACAAAATTCCTAGTTAGGCAAGCTGAACTGGAATCATGTCATAAGTATAACACTTAAAAGATATAAAAATATAGTTACTAACCTTGTCAAACTGGTTATCTCAAGCAATATTGAATTCAATACGAGAACTGTTTTTGATGTCAAAATGTGACTTTCGCTAATCGTCATGACACTGGAGACAGAAAGCAAGACATGGAAAGTGATGCTGATATTACTTATGAGTAAAATTTGATGTGTATGCAAATTTTTAGAAATTTATTTTGAGCGTACCTCCAGTTTTTATTTTTATATGAAAAAATTTCTAATAAACTCAACGTTATCGTTGGACATCCGATACCAATTTGTAAAAACGTTTATTTATTCCATATTGCTATACGGAGTGGAAACATGGACTCTCGGAATTACAAGTATGAGGCGTATAGAAGCCTTTGAGATGTGGGTTTTTCGAAGAATGCTGAAGATCTCTTGGACAGAGCACGTGACCAACAACGAGGTGCTAAGAAGAATGGGTACTGACAGAGAACTCCTAAATATTGTAAAAAACCGAAAAACGAGTTATTTAGGACATATCTACAGAGGAGAAAAATACAACTTCCTACGACTTATAATGGAAGGGAAAGTGGAAGGAAGAAGAGGTCCAGGAAGAAGAAAATGCTCCTGGTTGAAGAACATAAGAGACTGGACAGGCATGGACACACATGCGATACTAAGAACAGCTCAAGATAGAGAGCAATTTGCTGTAGTTATAGCCAACCTTCAGTAATGGAGAAGGCACCTTAAGAAGAAGAATGCAAATTTTTAGAAATTTATTTTGAGCGTACCTCCAGTTTTTATTTTTATCTGTTTTGTGTTTTTTTCACATAAAATAGTAATTTTAACTTTCAAATACATACTAACTCGGAAGCATAAAAAAGTGACAACTTTTTGCACTGACCCTTCAAATTATTTTAATTAATTATTTAGTTTTTTTCTATCTTTATCGTCATGAAAAATTGATTTTCGAAGATTTTCTTCTTCTTGCCGTTGAGAACGTGGTTGGCATTCATAATGGCTTTTTTTTATTTTTTAACTTGCTGCTCTAAATAAATCAAGCTGCTTCAGGATAAGTTTTAACTGAGGTTATAGAGTTTTTATCTGCTATTTACGAGTATAAAGTCCATCTGGTTTTTCACAATGTAGTTTTCTGTATGTGAAGGAGAGGTCCATGTATATAGTCTTCTCTTAGGAAGCTGAAACCAAATATTGACAATTACCATATTCTTTTCTTGGCAGAATCCTATGAGCCTTTCTCCTCTTTCGTTTCTAGTTCCCAATCCGAACTGTCCCACTATATTTTCAACTGTACCTACTCCAATTTTTGCATTAAAGTCTCCTAAGTATTGTATTGTGCAATTCTGAAGAAAACTTTTCAATCTCATCTTCGGTCTTATCAGCTGTGGGAGCATAAACTTGGATCATATTAATATTACAATTTCGTGCTTGAAGTTTTAGCATTATTATTCTTTCTGAGATTTGAATCACACCTAGCATTGATTTTCTAATAATTCGAAGATTTTACTGGATATTAAATATGCAATAAACACCATTATAAAAATCAGTTTGGTTTAAATAAACAAAATGTATACAAAGTCGATTTTTTTTCAAAGGTTTTATAAGATTATCTCATTTTCTTGAACTACTAATATCTTCGGATATATTCTAATAACATGATTGATACCGTTGGCGCTTCCAAAGAGATTGTAACACAGCCCCACCCATATTCTTAACCGCTATAAATACCAGGGGATGAGTAAAAATCTTCACTGTGGTTTATCCAGTTCTTTAGTTACTTCGAGGATTGTAAAACAGTGAGTTTGTCTTTTCTGCTATATTTTTGTTTATTTAATAACGCATCAACAACGTAAAAATTAGCGTGTTGATTAATTCAACTTATATTAACAATTTTAAAAGTAATCTTGTAGAATAGAAGAAAACAGTTCTTGGATATCCGACTTTTCTCCTAAAGTATTTTCAAAGTTGTCGGGAATGTTTTATTTCTTAATTTTTGGTGTCACAGGTTTATTTGTGTGGCATATTCCTCGAAATTGATTGGCACTTTGTCAATTTTTTTCTTTAAAAATGAATTTAAGCCTTTATGTACACATAAACTATTTTCTTCATAGACGGGATTCTACAATTTCATAATTCAGTTTCAGTATGATGATTTCAGTTCCTAGGGTATCTGTTACTAAGGTGTGATAATAATGTGGCAGCCCTACCCAAATACAATCTTCCCAGAAAGGTTATAAACATTTTAAAATCAGAAAATTAAAATTATTTTAGGTTAAAAAAAAAATAAAATTGTAAGTAATACATAAATATAAATACAACTTATGTAGTAAATTTTACTTTTCTACCCTTTGTTAAGGCAAAGGTTTTAATAATGTTAGATACATCTATATTTTCTGAAATATCCTTTTCAACGTTAATTATAAACAAATCTGAAAGCCTTTTTTGTCTCATTGTGGATCGTTGATAATTTTTTATTATTTTGAATTTCGAAAAGCTTTTTTCTCTACTCGCTACTATCACAGAAAATTTGTATGGCAATTACTAAATTTTGAAATATATAAGTAAGGTTATTGGTAAATAGGTAGTGAATGACATTTAATGCGTTTATTTCAAAGGAAATATTATAGGATACCAAGATTTTTCAGTTTCATCATATAAATCTTTATCTAAAATTATCTTCCTTTATGAGACAGTTAAAGAATGTATCATGTTGCTTTATTTGTTCGAACCTTTGTTTCAATTTTGATAAGGCAGTTTCCAATATAATAAACCAAAAATTAATTTTAAATTGGCTAGTTATATTTTTTTGAGCCTCATCTTTACACTCGTAGTCAAATAAACGTTAATATGTCTGTTTCGCTATGTAGTGTCCATTTAAGTCCATGTAGTGTTCCGCCATTAAAGCCTCCTGCCAGTCTGCCAGTTGATCTCTCACTTCTTTGTCCAGGTCTCCAAAGCTAGACAGTGTAATTACCAAGTATTTTATTTCCATTACTTGTTCAATAATGATGCCATTAATTTCTATTTTACTTTTCCTTTTGTCCTTATGTTAAATCTGTGGAATAGTCTGCGTAACAGAGTATTTTTATTTCTTTGTTTCCCATTCTGTATCCTCTTCTTTTGCTAACGCTTTTGATGATTTAATCCCTGATCTAATTTAAGAGTATGGCCTGATTGAATCTTCTTGTCTTATTCCGCTGCCTATTTCTATAAGTAATTTCTTGTAAAATTCTAGTTGTAAGTTTTAGCGTAGTATTTAAAAAGTTTATACCTTTATAGTTTTCTGGCTGTTTTAATTATCTTCTTTTTTAAATAGTAGAGTTAGTTCGTTCGTTCTCCATTCTTCCGATATTATATTTTGTTTTATAATAATTTTATTAATTAATATTGTTAATTGTTCTGTGATTGCTGCTTGACAATATTTCAGTAATTCGTTTGGTATCCCGTCTATACCTGCTGCTTTTCTGTTCTTTAGGTTTTCTGAACTTCCTGTACATTTATATTAAGTTTTTCATTTGTGGTAATTTCTGGTGTCTCCGGTTCTAGCGTCGCCTATTCTTCCTTTGCTTACAAGTACATGAAAGGCTCTAGGGTTTAATTCAAGAAATTTTTTTGTAAACAATTATTGCGACTCTTTGTATTCACACCATTATCATAATCCTGTCCTCTTAAATCCTGTAAACAAATGTTGTGTCTCCAGAAAATCTAATAAACCCTTGATCAAACCTGTCATTTATTATTCAATAAAACTTCCTTATAAATAAATATTATTCCTTCACTTTGGGATAGTAATACTTCTTCAAAAATGGCTTCACTATATACATTAAATAGTAATGGGGACATAATACATCCCTACCTAACTCCTCTACTGATTTCCATTTTTGGACTGGGTTCGTTATCTATTACGATTTGTGCTCTTTGATTCCAGTAGAGTTATTATTCGTAAGTCCCCATGGTCTATGTTTTTTGTCTTCAGAATTTGGACTAATTTTTCATGTCCTACTTTGTCAAATGCTTTTTCAAAATCAACGTAACAAAACATGCACATCAACATTCATATCCATGCATCTTTGAGCTAACACATTAAAAGCAAATAACGCTTCTCTGGTTCCTCGTCCGTTTCTGCACCCAAACTGACTATCATCTATTCCTTTTTTCAGTTTTTTATTTATACGACGATGTATTATTTTCAAGAATCACTTGAGAATGTGACTGAAATTAGTGATATTGTTCTGTGTTCATTCCCTGCAATATTTAGCGTTTGTATTTTTAGGGATAGCACAAAAGGAGGAGAGTAACCATTGTTTCGGTATGTTTCGCTAGTTTCGCTAACTAATACATAGTCTATTTAATTTCTTACAATTGTCTTTTCTTGATCTGCTGGTGACTTTCAGATATATAGTCTTCTCTTTGGCATTTTGAACAATGTATTAGCTATAATAAGAAATCAAAAGACGAATAAATCTTACAAATAGGGCATACTATGGACTCCAAAGCATTTCCACTCAAGAAACATTCAAAGAAGAACTAAAATTATTATATACAAAACATTGCTGAGGCCGGTCCTGATATATGGAGCAGAAACATGGACACCAACGCAGAAAGATGAAAGACTTTTGGGAATATTTGAGCGTAAAATACTCCGCAAAATATTTGGAGCTGTAAACGACCAAGGGCAGTGGCGCAGAAGATATAATTTTGAATTGTATCAGCTCTTTGATGAGCCAGATGTCATAACGTTCATTAAAACACAGCGACTTAGATGGGCTGGACACATAATACGAATGCCAGTAAATACCATTGCTAAAAAGCTAACCACAGGAACAACTGTAGGAATGGCGACGAATCTTCGAGCATGCCAAGATCCACAGAGGATTGTCGAGCCAAAGATGATGATGATGATTAGCTATAACAAAATTATTATTTTGGCAAAATTCGATTAGCCTGTCACCAATTTTGTTTTTGTTGCTTACACCAAATTCTCCTGTACATTCTTCTACTTTCTCTTCCCCAACCTTTGCGTTAAAGTCTCCCATTATGTTACATCTTGCGTTTTAATGGATTTTAACATGTTGTCTAGGTCTTTGTAGAAAGTTTTAATATCGCTCTCTGGTTTGTCCGCAGTTAAAGCATAAACTTGTACGTTGTTTATTTTGGTTTTGTTCTGGTATAATTGTAAGAGTATAATTCTGTTGGAGTATGGAGTGAAATTTATTGTAGCTTCATCAATGTTTTTGTTTAATATTATCCCGACATCATATTTGTGTAAATCGTCTTGACTTCCTCAATAATATATTGTTTTATTGTTGATTTTTATCTTTCCTCAAGCCATTGGACATCGCTGATTCCTAAAATATCTATATTCAGTCTTTCCATTTCTTTAACGGCAATATGTAATTTTCCAACGTGATGTAGACTTCTAACATTCCAAGTCGCTATTCCAAGTATATTCTAAGGTTTTCGCATGTTGACGACCGGGGAGGCCTTGTAGTCTTGTGATTGTCCTCCTCGGCCGGATCTTGTTGTCCGAGTTTCATGATCAGTTGAGTGTTTGGATGTATTGTTAGGCATGATATTTAACTAGGGATGCTCTATGAGCCTTTCATGCATTGGTATCTATCTCTATGCCGTTGACCATGTCTGGTTCGTCCGCCTTCATAAATTATTTTCCATTTCTAGGACAAGAAGGTGCCCTTCCACTTACCGACTCTTCCATCCGAAGCTGTTGGTCAGTAAGTGGGTATTGCTTATACCAGCAATCACTCGGACGCCAGAGTTTGTTATCAAGCAGAATGTACGAGATGATCATGATCTAGATCATCTCACGGGCAGGTGAGGTTGACATTTGAATAGGAGAGGCTATGTATTGCGCATCATCATCATCATTATCAGCGTATTCTACCAATTATGGTGCAGCCTCCCTTACATAGTCGTTCTTTATGTCTGCCCACGACTGTCTAATATTCGTTTTTCTGTGCCATGTTGTACCGGCTTGTTTCCTTATGTCATAGTCCCATCTTAAATTTGGACGTCTTCTTGGTCTCTTGACGCCTCTTGGATACCACAGAGTAATTCTAGTGGACCATCTATTGTCAGTTCTTCTTGCTAAATGTCCCGCCCACTGCCATTTTAAAGATTTTATTCGGTGGATTACATCAGTGACCTTCGTTTTCTGTCTGATCCATTCTATTCTTTTTCGATCTCTCTTGGTTATACCTAACATGCATCGCTCCATTGACCTTTGAGTGACTTTGAGTTTAGCTATTATATCTTTCCTTAGTGTCCAAGTTTCGCAGCCGTATGTCATGACTGGTAGTATACATTGATCGAATGCCTTTTTCTTCAGGTGGAGTGGCATCCTAGATTTGAATATAATTGAATTTTTACCAAAAGCTGCCCAAGCCAGTTTCATTCTTCTGTTGATTTCTGGGAGTAATGAGCCAGATTTATGTATTAATTGTCCCAGGTATATATACTCATCTACTGTCTCCAGTGCAGTATTATTTATTATTACATCTTGGACATCCACTAGCTCGTTGTACATGGTTTTTGTTTTTGTCAAGTTCATTTTTAGGCCAACTTCATTGCTAGCTGCATTTAGGTTGCTTATAAGTTCTTGTAGTTCTGCAGGATTTTTAGCAATTAGAACGATGTCGTCTGCAAATCTTAGATGGTTGAGGTATTCTCCATCAATGCACAGGCCTTTGTTTTGCCAGTTCATTTTGCTGAATATATTTTCTAGAGTTGCAGTGAAGAGCTTTGGTGATATAGAGTCTCCTTGTCGGACGCCTCTAGTAGTGGGAAATTCTGTAGTGTTTTCATAAATTTTTACCTTAGCTTTTGCTTGTCTGTATATATTTGCTAAAGTTTCTATGTAAGGTTTGTCAATGCCTTGGTTGGTCAAAGCTTCTATTACTGCCTTGGGATATATAGAATCGAAAGCCTTCTCGAAATCTATGAAGGTTAATGCTAGCGGTATTTCATATTCTGTAGCTCTACTCATTAGTTCTCGAAGCGTATGGATATGATCCATGGTATTGAATCCACTTCTGAAGCCAGCTTGCTCTCTTGGCTGTGCAGCATCTAATGCATTTGTTAATCTGTTGTTGATGATTTTTGTGAATATCTTGTATATGATTGGTAGTAGACTTATAGGTCTGTAGTTTTTAATCTACTCTTTATTACCTTTCTTATGGATCAAAATTATGTTTGCTGTATTCCAGTGGTCTGGTATGCATCTTGATCTTAGACAGTTCGTAAATACACCTGCTAAGATGTTCCACGTCTTTTTGCCAGCGTATTTGAGCAGTTCCACTGTTATGCCATCAATTCCAGCTGCTTTACCGCTTTTCATTTTTGAAATTGTCGATTCTACCTCTTCCGGAAGGACTTCTGGTACATCTTCGTGGTTACTGATTACTTCTTCAAGCGTTTTAGGAGCTTTGTATAGTTCGCTATAGAATTTAGTCACGAGTTGTATTATTTAATTTCTGTCTGTAATTCTGGTGTTTTCGTTTGTTAGAGCCACGATTTGCTTCTTCCCAATAATTAATGCTTTTCTTGTTTTCTTATAGTTCTTTCTGTTTTCGATTGCATTTTCTACCAGCCTTTCATTGTATTTTCTTATGTCTTCCTTAATACCTTTTCTTATTGTCTTACAAAGTTCTGTGTATTGTATTCTCTGTACGTTGCTAGTTACTTTCATTTCCCTTCTTTGTTTTAGCATTGTTTTTGTTTTATTAGATAGTTTCCTATGTTCGTTTTGTTCTTGCGGGCCTCCGATTTCTTTGGCACTATCAAGGATGATTTGCATTAATTGAGAGCTGTCGATTTGATCATGTAATCTTTCATCAATTGTCCTTTGATACTGACCTAAGTTTTCTTTTAGATTACTAATATTTATACCGGTTATTGTTGGTTTTGCGATTAATTTTATTCTTTCTAGTTTTAGGTCTAGAACAATTTTTGCTCTGAGTAGTCTATGGTCGCTGCCTGTTTGAAATTTATTTATTACACTGACGTCTTTTATTGTAGCAATCTTGTTGGTTAGAATGAAGTCAATTTTGTTCTTAGTGATTCCATTTGGTGCTACCCAAGTCCATTTATTGCGCATCACTATCCCTTATATTCACATGCAGAGATCTTTAGAGGCGGACAATACACGACATCATGATCACCACTACACTCCTTCGAGGCGGTCGGGATTGAAGAGAGAGATCTTTCTTATTTTTTCCGGGCTTTAAATTGGCTATGTCATCGGAAACCACACTGTTAGCGTAGTTAAATTTGTTATATATTCACTTTACATTCACAAGTCAGAGAAATATTTATTTTTATTATTTGTTTTACATGTTTTTTTTTTTTTGTTTTTAGAAATGTTCGGGATTTTCGTTTTCGCCATTTTTTCTGGTAAGTATTTCCTTTCGTTAAATCTTTAGTTGGATTTTTATTCAACAAAAGGAAGTGTAAACATTTTTATACTGTAGAAAAGTGAAAATCTATATTTAAAGAAGATTTTAAGAGAACGTAAGAAGATTGATCTTTTAAAAAAAATTGTCTTTCAATTTTTGTGTTTTTTGTTTTTCGATTCGAAATAAAACAAAAATAACCAGAAAATTTTAGCATTTTCAATTTTAGTGTCTGTTAAATATTTTAATATTTAAAAAAAAAAACTATTACCAAGATAAAAACCAAAGGCGCTAAACATCTCAAATCATTGAAATGGCAATACTTTTTCACAACTTTACACTTTTTTCGGAAGTTAAGTCCTTCCTAAAGAGTAGTATGGTCATTTTATGGCAACCATGAAAGTTGCTGATGTATAAAGATACATCAATACAAGCAATTTGCCTAAAATGAAATAGACGTACAGTAGACTCCCGATCATCCGAGCTAATTGGAACTGTGCATACCGCGAAGACAGAATAATAAACAATCAGAATGCCCACTCTCCATGGAAAATTAAGTACGCGCAGACGTTTCGCCATACTTTAGAGGGAACCAGTGTTGTTTATGTGGTGTGCATAAAAAAATTAACCCGGTTTAATTGACTTACGGCAATCATAGACATACTATAAAATTATTTTAACAATTTTAAATTTAATAACATAAATATAAATATAATTAAACATAAATATAAACAATTACATAACCTCACAAATCATATGTCTGTGTTATGCACGGACGTATAAATACGTCCATGGTGTTATGTGTTTCCTTCTAAAAAATGGGGCGCGTGCTGAAAAACTTCAAAGGCGGCATCTGAGTGTGGACATTCTGATTGTTTATTATTCTGTGCCGCGAATACCGAAAAACTCCGATAACGCGGAGATCGGGTATTTGCTTAAAATATACGAAAAATTCAAAAGTTAGAATAGATAGATGCAAAAGTTTTTCAGCACGCGCGCCATTTTTTAGAAGGAAACACATAACACCATGGACGTATTTATACGTCCATGCATAACACAGACATATGATTTGTGAAGTTATGTAATTGTTTATATTTATGTTTAATTATATTTATATTTATGTTATTATATTTAAAATTGTTAAAATAATTGTATAGTATGTCTATGATTGCCGTAAGTCAATTAAACCGGGATAATTTTTTTTATGCACACCACATAAACAACTTACTATGCAAGCGAGACATGGACAGTCAAAGAATCAGATCGACGACGCATAGACGCCTTTGAAATGTGGACATGGAGACGCCTGCTTCGAATTCCATGGACGGCTCGCCGTACAAACATCTCGGTTCTGGATGAAATTAAACCGGATCAGCGTCTCTCCAGTACCGTTTACTCCAGAATTTTAAAGTTCTTTGGCCATATCCATCGAAGTGATCACAAAATGGAGCGGTTGGTGGTCCAAGGAAGGCCTCAGACTCAACGCCAACGCGGAAGATCTCCACAGCGATGGGCGGACATTACTAAAAAGCTTCTCAATAAACAGTATACTGAGGCAATACATATAACTGATGACCGCGACCAGTGGAGAAATATTATCAATCAAACTGTCCGAGCTGCTGAAGCCCAATTATGAACCACAACACATCTACTAAGATGTTAATAACTGTGATGATGATAATATAAACAACACTGGTTCCCTGTAAAGCATGGCGAAACGTCTGCGCGTACTTAATTTTCCATGGAGAGTGGGCATTCTGATTGTTTATTATTCTGTCTTCGCGGTATGCACAGTCCCAATTAGCTCGGATGATCGGGAGTCTACTGTACGTCTATTTCATTTTAGGCAAATTGCTTGTATTGATGTATCTTCATACATCAGCAACTTTCATGGTTACCATAAAATGACCATACTACTCTTAAGGAAGGACTTAACTTCTGGAAAAAGTAATAACCATTTGAAATATGTTGTGTAAATGGTATATGTTCCTTTGTCAACCATTCTTTAATTTTATTAACAGTCCAAGAATTCGTTGGACTTTTGTTTAATACTTCAGAATGGTAAGGTACATTGTCTAAAATAATTACGCTGGGCTCACTTAAACCTGAAAGAAGTTTTTAATGTAACCATTTTACAAACATTTCTGTGTTCATATTATCGTGATAGTCACTTGATTTTGATTAAGATGAAAATATTAAATCAGCACCTTCTGTAAAACCCGATTTCCCTCCTGCATGTAAAATTATGTGTCGCTTCCCTTCTCCATCAGTATGTTTGATAGACTTTACGTTATCATCTTGCCATATTCTCTTGGTTGCATCCCTAGAAAATATCCATGTTTCGTCTAAATATATAAAATTTGCCCTTTCTTCTTTTAATTTAGAATATTTTCTTAGAAAGTTAATTCTTTTATGCACAACAGAACTTCTTTCACAAAGGGCTTTTCTGTTATCCTCCTTTTGAAATTTGAAACCCAAATTATGTATCACTTGCCATAGACTTGTTCTGCCAATTTCGTCAAATTTTCTATCTTTTAATTCCGAGAGAATTGTATTTAAGGTCACATGTTCCTTGTTGGCTCGCATTCGATAAACGGTACCACGAATTTTAAATTGTTTTCCATCTGGAATATCTTTCGTTTTCAATGATAGGTGAGTTTTTCGGTGATCTTCTTTCGGCCGTTCATTATTGCGATTTTGTAATACTCCTCTTAGTTTGGTTTCACTAATTCCTAGAGCATCACATACGCGTTGTTGAACAGACATTCCCGATTTTTAAAGGACCGCCATTTTCTTTTTCATCTGTAAAATACTTATGTACACTACAAATTAGACTATCCACATCTAACACACGTCTAGGCATTTTTAAATATTTCCACCAAACATACAATGTCAACACTGGCAAAGAATCAATTCAACTGCAATATTGTAACAAATTTATACCTACCCTAATGTTATTTAAATGTATTTTAAAATTTGACCATTAATGCAGTTTTTACCTAATTTTCTGGGAAGTCGTTTACTGCAACTAGTTATCAATAAGTCATTAGCATAATTTTGTTAATCCGAAACCCGCGTAAATATAGCAAACCAACATCTCTTCAGCGTATCAACTGTCAGCGTATACGCTTTCACTTGATCTCGCTCTCCAAACTAATTTATTACATAATCTGTTCTTTTTAATTACTACCTCGCGGATAATCGCGGGTCTACTTTATTTAGTGGATACATATTCTGTTGACCTTACTATATCGGTTCCAGTATGGCTCATCTCCTTTCATGTAACATATTTTTTCTCTTTGCTTACATTTAATAGACGTAATTTAATACACATATATTTCTTTTAGTCGCTGTTGCTTCAGCTGGCGTACATAAACATCAACATGTGAAAGTCGTAGTTCCCGAGCAGCAAGCTCAATCCTCGCATACCCTGGAAATAGCCGAAGGATATGAAAGTGGTGGCTATGCACCTGGTGAATTGGAGGCCCACGCAGCAGCGGAAGCGGGAGCTAGTGGAAATGGAAAAGGCAGTTCAGGAGCAGAATTGACAAGTTTAGCTCATAATTCGGCAGTGCAGGCTAAAAATGCCGTTAGGAATCAACATACCGCCGGAAGCCAAGCCGCTTTCGGAGTCAAAAGTAGTTTAGCCAGTGCTGCTGTTGGAGTAAGTATAACACAACACCTATATTGCAATTTTTCTTTTTCTAGCCTGGACTTTACTAATGAAGGTTAGCTATAAACATTACAACCTCATCACTTCTGCTTTAGTTAAAAGAGTCTGTGGGTTTATTTCGGTCCAATCGCGAGTATTTTTCAGGCAGTATATTATTTATCGTCATTTAGAACCCTTTTTCCTTCTATTTTCATCCTCTGTCATTCTACTAATGTGTTCGTTCCACTCCTCTTTCTGTTTTGTCATCCATTCATTTATGTCTTCTATATTGCATGCGCTTCTTATGCTTTCGCTTCTTTGCCTATCCAACAGACTTTTGCCTGATATTCGTCGGAATATTTTCATCTCTGTAATATTACCACAGCCTATTGTTGGTTCCAATAGAGATTTCTTACTATGTTAATATCATTTTTGTGATATTGTATTTACTAAATATATTAGATAATCTCTAAGTCATTTTTAAAACCACACTTTCAATTTTAATTCCATAATATAATCTTTTGTGTACCCTTCTGTCAGTACTTTATCAATTTTTTGTAGCAATAACCCATTTTTTGTTTAAATCCAATAATTTTATTGCCTACACTACTCTTTTTCTGAGGATACCATCATCTTTGTTAAAATCGTGACATAATTTCCTCTTGTGGAATTTTCTGCATTATTCTTTGGATTTTCTGATTAAACTCAATGGCTTTTCCCTTCTCTCTGTCTGCAGTGTGAGCAGATTTTTCTACTACAGAAGATGCTTATATTTATATTAATAATAGATAATAGGTCATAGATAAAGAATTTGTTATTTTTCTATTATTTAATGTTTGAATTATTTTTTTACCCAATGTAATTTTTCTAGGCTGCCCAAACCGCCCAAGCTGCTCTAGTGGGTAAACAAGCTATCGTGCAAAACCTTAAAAAGCAAGCAATCGAAGCTCAGCAGGAATTGCAAGCCGAAATTTCACAATACCACCAACTGGAAGCCGTATCTCAAGTTGCAGCTCAAGCCTCCCAAGACGCCCACGCCCAACTGAACACTCTTACTGCTGCTCTTGCGTCTGCACAGGCCGGTGCTTCGCACGCTGAACAAGCCGCAGCCGAAGCTGCTAATGCTGCTGCTTCTCAACACGCGATGGTCGACGAAGCTAAGCAAAAAGTCGGAAGCATATTATCTCAACTTCAAAACGCTGTAGGTGATCTACAAGAAACAGAAAATTCTGCCATTAAAGCAGCCGAGGCTGCACATATTGCACAGTCCAACGCTGCAGCTGCGGGGCTAGCAGTAGCTGCCGCTAGTGCTAAGAATGGACATAACGGAGGCGGTTCTGGAGGATATCACCATCACTATTAATATATGTCGTAGTTTTTACTAGTTTTTTAATAAATTTTAGAGAAAGTTAGATTTTATGTTTTATTATAGAAAATTAAGTTTTAACATAATGAAAACCAAGGAGAACAAATAAGGATTAAGGACACTAAATAAGGCCATGTTAAGGTATAAATGTCTGAAATATTTGATATAGCAACACTGTGTGGGGAAAAGTCTTGTATACACACAGCCTAACATTTTACCTACCGAATTTCAAGATAAAATAAATAAATAAAGAAATATTAAATTGTAACATTAAATAAATATTGAATATTTGGCCATATTTGAAACTGGTAACTTAATAAGACTAGTTCCATTTTACAAAAAAATTGACATCAATAATAAATTTTAAAACTTAAAATTAAAGAACAAATGCAAAGTTTAGTGAGACAAAATTGAGTGAGCGTATGTCCTTCTCTTCAAGAAAACTTTATTGATTTGAATCATGATGTTGAAATTGAAAGTTTGTTTCGGGAGTGTGGGAATGAAAGATTTTGACCGCGGATAAAAGATGTATATCCAATCTTGTGGAATGCAATCAAATTATTATTATTAGCATTCTCCACAACATATCTATTGGAGAAAGGTTTTAGTTCTGTGTGTTTATTGAAAAACAGACAAAGAAATAGGCTCGACATAATAGAAAGAGGGGATTTGAGGTTGTTGTTAACCAACATTGAGCCAGATATAAAGAAAGTATGTGAGTGACACCAGGCCCAAAGAAGCCATTAACAATTCTTTTACACACGTATAACCATTTATCCTTTTACGAAATGTAAAAATAAATAAATATGGATACTTACCTTTTGTATAGATTCATTATTCAGTATTCAATTTAATTGGGTGGGGGAGGGGGGTGATTGTAGTATTCATAACTGGTGAAACCTGTCTAAGGGGGCGATCAGGGGAAAAAGGTTGGGAACCATTGATCTATAATATAGCGTAGGTCATCCATGATTTTGGCTTTTCTGTCTTTTTGGTCGTAGGTATTGGTCTAATATTTCCTTCCCAGTGTTTTCCAGGTGGTTTATTTCTGTGTCAACATCATTAACTACTTCTGACTTAGATATATTGTTCTTCAGATATTCCCGTACTTCTTGCTTTATGTCATCTTCTCTTAGTTGTTTGAGATCGTATCTTATAGATAGGATTAGGTTTGTAGATTTTTTTAAATTTCAGACGAAACTTAACGACAAGTGGCTTATGGTCTGACTTAATATCTGGAGCAGGGTAGGTTTTCACTGATGTTATTGAGTTTTTGAATCTTTTATTTATTAAAATATAGTCAATCTGGTTTCTTATGAGATTTTCTGGCGTGTCACCGGGTGAGCGCCATGTGTACAACCTTCTGCATGGTAAAACTCATACAATGATAAAGCAAATCTTCTTCTTACGGTGCCTTATCCTTAAGGACGTTGGTCATTACATTTGCCCATTTAATCTTATTTGTAGCAGCCCCGAATAGTTCTATGGAGGTCATGTTCGTCCATTGCCGTAGGTTTTTAAGCCAAGAGTTGCGTCTTCTTCCTGGTCCTCTTTTGCTATTGACTTTGCCTTCGATTATAAGTTGGAGCAGTTCATACTTTTGATTTCTTATGATGTGACCAAAATATTGTGTTTTCCGTTCTTTTATTATAAGCATAAGCTCTCTTTCCTTATTCATCCTCCGAAAGACTTCCGCATTTGTCGTATGGCTCATGTAGGATATTCTGAGCATTTTACGGTAACACCAGAGTTCAAATGCTTGGATTCTTTTTTGTGTTGCTTCTGTCATTGTCCAGGCTTCAACAACATAGAGCAAGGTGGAGAAAACATAGCACTTAAGTATTCTAGTTCTTAATGAGATGCCCAGCTGGCGGTTGCATAGAACTTTTTGCATTTTGTAAAATATTGTAAGTGCTTTTTCCAGGCGTATTCTTATCTCTAGTAAGTGGTCCCAAGTTTTATCAAGATTACTTCTAAGGTACGTTGTTCTTGTTACTCTTTCCAGATCTGTTCCGTCGACATTGACCTTCACCCTTCTGTTTTGGTGCTTGCTGACGACCATCGTTTTGGTCTTCTTTGTATTCAATTTCATTCCAAATTCTCTACAGGCTGTCGTTACTCGGTCCATTAAGCGTTGTAGGGCTTCAGTATTATCTGACAGTATGACAGTGTCATCAGTATATCGCAGGTTATTTATATATTGCCCGTTAATAATTATACTATCCGTGGTGCCTTCCAAAGCTTTCTGAATATGTTCTCAGAGTAAACATTGAACATAAAGCAAATAGACTTTTATAATTATATTTATTATGTGTTTACTTTATATAATATTACAAATTTAAATATTTTTCTTACAAGAATATAATTTGTATGTATCAGTATAATATTTAGTACATTTTTTTTTTTTGGTTTAAGTACATGTTAACCCATCCAAATTTTTTACATCAAATTTTGGATTATAAGGCGTGTAATCAATCTTGTTCCTATTAAAATACAACATGATATCCAATAAATCATTGCAAGATAATTGATTGCCATTAATACCAATTTTCGATAAATGAGGAAACGTTTCTCCAAATGTTGCCAAATTGATAGTAGATCTTCTCAAGTAGGTATTATCTAAATAAAACGTATATAAATTTCCAAGAGTTTGAAAAGGTATCAAATCATTTTGGTAAAATAAATTTTTATTATCAGATATATTAAGAAATGATAATTTTTCTAAACCATCCAATACACCATCACTCAAGGAAGTGATTTTATTATTATCTAATCTCAATGTTTGAAGGTTTTTTGTGTAATTGAAGGTTTTATACCCAAATGTTGACAATTCGTTGCTATGAAGATACAACTCAACTAAATCTTCGAATAATGTAAATGTTTGTGAATTAAGATTTGTAATAGAATTATTTGAGAGATCTAAATATTGAACTGTATTTGGACTTCCGAGGTTTGAGGTTTGGACGGTTTTTATAGATGACGAGCTAAGATTAAGTGTAAGCAAATTGGGTAAATCGTTAGTGATTGCCGTTAAGTTAACAACTGACAATTTGTTTAATTTTAAGATTAATTCTTTTAGTTTTGAAAGTCCAGCAAAAGCGTTATTTTCTATTGTGTTTAAGGCAGAATTGGAGATATTAAGAACTTCTAAATTACGCATATCTTGAAATGTATATTCTTTTAGCAACGTTTTATTTTGAAATATTTGTGAGGCATCTAAATAAGTTAAACTCATTAAACCATTAAAAATGTTATCTTCAGAAACGTCAATTGTTGTATTTATAAAATTTAGAGATCTTAGTAGCGGTAAATCGACGAAGCAATTATTCTTTAGTAATTCTATATGAGAATCAATTATGGTTAAATTTTTAAGGAAAACACTTGCAACAAATCGTTCGCCTACTGTACCAGTCAACTGAATTATCAATTTGTTAATTTCAACGGTATTATCCAAGATAATTGGACTTGATATTGAATTAAGAAGTAACGTATCGATATTGACCATATGAAATGTATATTTGTCAATTCCTTGTATATTGTTATTTTTTAAATTTACTTCTACCCAATTATTTATGTTGTTAAAAGCGTATAGATCAATATTAGAAATTTCCGAATTAGATAAGTCCAAATATTTTAAGTTTTGCAAATTGTAGAAGGCGTTTTGAGAAATGTTTTCTATTTTATTTCCATATAAATAAATACGTTCTACAGGTAAGTTCCTGAAAGTATAGTTACTTAACAAAATTAAGTAATTATTACTTAAATCTATGGTACGGATTGCTGGTAAACTAAAGAATACATCATTTTCTAATATAGTTATAGCACTGTTCGAAAGATTTAATGACTCTAAATAATTTAAGTTGGAAAATGCTTTTTCTCTAATATAATGAATAGGGTTACCTCGAAGGTCGATATTTTTCACACTAATGTTGTTGAAGGTATAGCTTTCCAATAATTCAATTGCGTTGTTAGACAAATTAATTGTATCGATATTTTTTAAATTCAAAAAAACATTCTGTTCAATATTTTTTATTTTATTGTGTGACAGGTCAATAACTTGTAAATAATCAATACCATCAAAACTTTTGCTACCAATAGTCGATATGTTATTTTTTCTTAGATTAATCGTTTTAAGAACGCTTTTTAGATTACTAAAAGTTGACTCATTGATAAACAATAAATTATTTTCACTAATATCAAGAGTTTCTATAGGCACGTCTTGAAAAGTTTCTGACGGAATATCGTTTATAAAATTTTTGGAAATATTATACGTAGATAAATATGAACATTTCAATATTGATATTTGAGATAGATTTGTTATTCTATTAGACGAAAGATCTAGATGTTTTAATGTGGGTATTCCCGTACAAATCTCATCTAATTCTTCAAGGGCGTTATGACTTAAATTTACGTAGACGAAACGGTCGTATGAATTGGAAGAACAACAATTTATGAAAAATTCATTAGTTATTTTTTTAACATTAGAAAAGGATAGATCAATAGTACTAATAGCTGAAGTTACTCCGAACACTTTATTAGATAATACATCAAAATTGTTAAAACTCAGATTAAATACAGAAGCTTGAACAGATTGAAAATAATTTTGCGGAATACTGGTTAATTTATTATTTGAAAAATCAAAAATATCTGAGTCTATGTTGGGTATTTTATTACTATCCAAAACTGGCAAATCTGTATCGATCCAGTTTAACTTAAATATATTTTGTATAGATAAAGAATTATTAGGTATAAAACTGGAATAAAAACTAGAAACACTATAATAGTTGCTGTTGCCAATATACGAAATATTACTATTCCCGTGACCCTCAATTTTTAAAAGATCTTTATCACTTTCTAACGCCAGCAATTGTAGATAATTATAACTTAAATCTAATGATCGTATTTTTACATTGTACTCAAATTCTGAGAAAAACACTAACTTGTTATGGCTCAAATCTATGAAATCAAATCTTTTGTAGTTAGAAGTTGGTTTTACTATAGAAATTTCGTTATTGTTTAACCAAATTGATGACATTCTCTCCCTCAAATTATTAAAATCAAGTTCAGAAATTTTATTGTAACTTAAATCTAAATTTAAATAATTTTTATATGATATAAATATACTAGGCAACCAATCCAGATTTGTTATATTATTTTGACTTAGATTTAGTTCGCTCAAATTTCTAAAAACTCCAAATGTGTCGCTACTAACACCATCCACTTTAGATCTTATAATAGTTAAAGAACTCATGGCTACCGGTGCTGGATACATATCGTTTGAAATATTTACAAACGGTTGTATACCGGAAAAATCAGAATCTTCAATCACAATTCCATCTAAATACGAAATTACGTCTTTGTTTCGAAATAGTTCAAGGAGGAAATCATCTTGGCTTATTCCTTGGCATTGAAAAATATAGGAACTATAATTACATCCACCACATAAACTTATTGCAGGCAGGAGTGAAACCAGTACCAGAAATCCAATCATTTTCCTAAAATACAATCTTTGTTATTATAATACACTGAACGGCACAAAAAGGGGCCACCCTATTAATTTCCGAAAATTAAAATCCATTGGAAGTTTTGGGTGTATACTAGTTCGCTCCCGCGATCAAATTTTAATACCCCACAGAAAAGAGGCACAGGTAAATTCGCTCCGGCCATATATTTCTTAGAAAAGATATTTTCCGCAAATCTCCAGGAAATTTTGACATTCCTGTCAAAATTTCTTGAAGAAAAAGTCAGGACTTCCTTACTGTAAGGAAATGTCATTTCCTTACTGTAAGGAAATGATATTTTCGTACAGTTGTTAGTGTTCTACATAAATGATAGAAAACACATTGCTTATAAGGAATTAATTTATATTTTGAAAACATCAAGTCATTGCTGAATACATTTTTAAGATCAATTTGTTATATTTACAGTAATTTGACAGTTAGTACAATTATTGAACATTGGAGGAACACTCTTAGAACTATGAGAAACATTTTGGACAACATGCAGGGTGGAAGTGTCATTTTGTTGAATATTTTGTACTGTGAAAATTTTATTTGCCACCTCAACCTTATTGTTAAGCGATTCTTCGATATATCCTTCAGCAACGTTTGATGACTTCCATCCGCCATGCCTCTTTAAACTAGTTATGTCGGCACCAGAGTCAACCAATATTGTTGCAGAAGACCGACGAAAGCAGTGACCAGTATATTCTGTCGGATTTACCAAGTTCAAATAAGTAGCAATTATTTTGGGCATTTTTCTAAATTGATGAATTCCTACCACTTGTCTACAACCCTTTCCGCTTTGATATTTAAAGAAAAATCGGTCACTGTTTTTTATTTTCTGGTCTTAACGAAACATACTTTCGATAAACATTCAAGTAGATCTGATTAATTACAAATGATCTTGGTTGTTGGTTTTCAAATCAGGTATGCTGATTAAAAGCTTAGATTCTAAGTCTTCTATATCGTGTACAGTCATTCGGACTAACTCATCCATTCTACAGGCCCCAGAAATACCAAATATTACAGCCACCTAAAAAATAAATAAAGCTATAATCTAAATAGAAATTAAAACCTTGTAAATTACCTTAATCATTAAATTTTCTTTATCTGGAGCTTCCTGGATAAATTTTTCAATTTCTTCCTTCGTTAAAATCTTAGATTTCTTTGCCCTATAACCTTGAGCTTGCCGTTTCAATAAAGAACGAAGTTTTGAGTATGTAGATATATCTACATTGTGTGCAAGGGTTGACTTCAGCATTGAATAATTGGCCCATAATGTTGAAGATTTCATCTTTAAACAAAGGTCTAGGAAGTATGCCATTACAACATTTTCTGAGAAAGAACTCGTATTTTTACTTATGCGATAATCCATAAAACGTCTGTATGCATTTTCGTACTTTTCTCTTGATTTCTTTGGCAATAATTCTAATGAAGCAGTATTCACTGCCTCAACCAGCTCTGGAGGAGTTCCAGGAATGGAAATTTCATCATCACTTATCATTTTACTTTCGAGAACACCAGCAATTAAATTTATAAGCGTCAAGTTTGACAATTCAACCTCAATACGTTTCCATAGTAACCCAAGTAATTTTATTAGGAATTTCAAAGCACCATTTATTTGGGAATAAAATTATCGCGTTTTTTTTTTAAATCAATCAATATCTGTCGAATTTTAAACGATTTGCGGAAAAATAGTATGTTTACCTCGTAGGAAAAGCCACATTCCTGGACTCTGTGTTGCTAAGTCTCGGCTTGTGCCTCGACTTAGCAATATTCACAGTCGTCCAGGAATGTTAAGCTTTTCCTACCCGGTAAACAATGTACTATTGAATAATGTCTTCTCAAACTTTGTATTTACCTATTAATACAACACTACCATCACTGTTTAAAAAAGAATGAGTATTTTTAAACAATGCTACTATATAGCATTATTTCTTACTTAAAAAATATATTACAATTATAACGTTAATATCACTAAAGTATTATGATGTTAGAGCTCATATTACCTTGTTCAATATTTGATTGGGTTTTTCCGCATCAGAAGTTGCACTTAATATATTTCTTTGAAAAGATTGGTAGGTAATTAGTAGTCTACCTGAAATTTTATGATAAGAAATAGGGGTGGTGCGAATCTTAACATTATTACTTTAGTTCCAGTTTGAATGTAGTTATACCCAGTTCATGATAGAGAAATCTGAAGTAAGTGAAATGTTAAGTGAAAAGGGCAACTCAATGTTAGTTATTGACAATTACAAGTATAACTTCCATAAAATGTTTTCTAATAATATCAAACGTTGGCAGTGTACAGAAAGAAGTTGCAAAGCATTTGTTAAAACTTTGTAAAATATTTGTAACAGTGTAGTCGAATGTAGTCATAACCATACCCATGAAAGTTTATCAAAAATAGTGTTAACCCGGCAAAAATTAAGTAATAGTGTTAAGCGGAAGGCAATGGATGATTTGTGTGAAAAACCATTGAAACTGATACACAGCGAAATTAAACAAACAGGCACTAAAAGTCTTACTGTGGAAGATGTACATTTGATAAGAAAAATATTTATAATGGCAGAAAACAAGTTATTCCCAAAATTCCGAAGTGCTCGCAGGAAGTACATGACTCGTTAAACTCCGTGGAAGTGACAACCAACCAAAAAGAACAATTTTTGCTGAAAAATGATCCGGTAAAAAAATTTGTTGCTTTTTCTTGTGTATCTAACTAAACATTTTTAAGTAAATTAGAAATTTATATTGATGGAACTTTTAAATACTGCACTAAATTTTTTATTCGACTATTCACAGTTCACGGACTCGAACATGGATACGATGTGCCGTTGGCATTCTTTTTGCTTTCAAATAAGTTAACAAACTCATATATGACTGACTTAAATTGTTAAAAACGAAGTGTCAAAAATTGAACTTAACTTTTAGTCCCAAGGTTGTGTATGCCGATTTCAAAAAAGCGATCCATACAGCTGAAGTGAAGTGTTTCCATCTGTGAAAATAAAAGGATGTAGGTTTCATCTCGAACAATCATGGTGGAGAAAAATTCAAAAAGTTGGTCTGGCTACTGAGTATTCAAACGACAATGAAGTCGGACAATACCTTAGATATATGTTTGGTCTACCTTTTCTAGATCCATTAGAAGTAGGTGTTTTGCTTTAGACTTGGAAATTAAACAAATTTCTTTAATTTACTAATGTTTGCATTTTGAGAACGATTTCCGAAGTGTAAATTGAAACGTCAATACATTTACTTTAACGTTTAATTGTGGCTTATTCTCATTTAGATAATGATTGCAGATACTGTAAATTCTAACAGCAGTGATAAAAGTACTAGGTATACAGAACTCAAACGTGTTGAATCTCATCTAAGAGAGAAAAAGAAGTAGTGGAAGGTTATGTGATGTTATGAAGCAATTGAGGTTAAGTTGAAACTTCACTTTGAAAAGAATGGGACGTATGATTCAACTAATAGATGCAAAATATAAAATTTAGTTACGAAGTTGATTCAAAATTTTCAAAGAATAATGGAGACTGGCAACATTTTCGTTATAGATGAATCTATGGTACCTTTCCGATGGAGACTTCATTTTCGTCAGTACATCCCCAACAAGACTCATAAATATAAAATGAAACTATTCAAACTCTGTTCTCATAAAGGCTATACTTTCAATGTAAATATCTACACAGAAAAAAATAAACAACTACCAGTTAATGTAGCACACTCTGAAGCAGTTTTTCTGAAATTACTCCAGTGCATTACAGATAAAACTGGCAAAATATTATTTTCTGCTATTTCAGGTTAAAAGATTGTTAGCAGAAAATATGATGTACTGTGAGCATGTGGGCATGGACGTATACGTCCATGACTGTGGGACTATAAGAGGAAATAGAAAAGGAATACCATATATTTTTAACCAGTCCAAGAAGATGAAGCTACCAGAGGTCATTGGAAAAAAGAAAGATGGACTAATAATTATGAAGTGGATGGATAAAGAGACTTGTGTTAATGATTTCAAGGCTTGCTGCCTATACTTAACAGTTATTTCGAACAGGAAAGCAGAATAGACAAAAAGAGGATATTGTGAAACAGAAATGTATAATTAATTTCAACTCTGTAAAGAAATGCGTACACTATTCTGACCTGATGTCATCTTACCCTACAGTGCTATGTCGAAGATTGAAATGGTACCGGTAAGAAAAAAAATAAGTTATAATTTTAATATCTCTTTCTTATTATTTTTTTTAGGAAAGTAGTATTTGAGATACTCGGAACAGCTATTGTTAAAAGTTTAATTATATTCAATGTGTGCTCTGAAACAAAAATGAGCATTACAGAATTTAGATGTCAGTAAGCTTATAATTTAATCAATCACCTGAAGAAAAACCACTTGCACCAAAAAAAAGAGCGCATACTTTTACTAAACCTGAAGGGCCTGGAAGGGAACGACAAAAGCCATGTAGAGGCTGTCGTCAAGTATTAAATTCTTCAGGTTTAAGTTACTGTGAAGTGGATAAAAAGTTCATAGGATAATAACTTTTTGTTGCGATTGCCCTGGTCAACCTGGATACTGTTTGTCTTGTTTTAATAAGGCACATAATTAATAAGAAGAAGCAGAAATTACCAATCAATTTTAAAATGCGTTTGTTCTGTTTAGTTTAATATAAAGTAATCTGTTTTTAAAAGCAGCACAGACAGAATAGACGTATTTTCGGAGGCATGTGACACACGTACTAGTATATTAAGTATTTAACCGCCGAAGTCAAGGTGTTAACTTATTACATTATACCTTAAACTATAAAAGTAGATCATAAAGTATTATTTCAGAATAAAAGTATTCATACAAGTAGATGAGGACATCTGGGGTCAGGGATACAAGATGGTCATGAAGAAGTTCCATGCGTATCATCCTTACGAAATGCCTATAGACAAGAAGCTTGAGGTAACAAGAGAGCTCTTTCCGGACGGCAGATGTCATGATGTATCAGATAGTGGATCAGATACCACTTGAGGCGGTAAAGGGTCTAGGACGGGTGTATGGAGCCTGCGTGGCTTCTGGAACACATGAATGCACTGCTGGAAACACAAACCTTTCCTGAGCCTTGGAGGACATCAAAGTTAATACAGCTTCCCAAAGCTAGGGAAAAGTATCGCCCCATCTGTCTCCTTCCATGTATCAGTAAGCTATATGAAAGGATGCTGTGAGTACGCATAGACGACATGATTGAGAGGTCAGGTGGTTTATCTCGAAGGCAATTTGGTTTTTGTAAAGGGAAAACACGATTGATGCAATCATGAGTATACTCGAAGCATTGCGCAACAGAGGGGATGAACATCGCTGGGTGGCCCTGCTGTTGTTTGATGTTAAGAATGCATTTAAGACGCTGCAGTGGAATGAGGTGATAAAGGCAATGCAGAAGAGAGAATTATCTGATTACCTGATGAATGTGGTGGCGGAGTATCTGTCCAAGAGAAGGTTATGGTGGAAAAGGGCACGATCGTAAACGTGACGGCCGGGGTACCCCAGGGATCTGTCGTGGGCCTGACGCTTTGGAATCTGCCATACGAAGGAGTAATGCACTGTGAATACGGAGAGGGTACAACCCCCTTTGCATTCGCGGATGACCTCACTGTATTGGTAGTGGCCCGGGTTGAGCCAGATCTCAAATACCAGGTTCGAAACGCAGGCGTCATCGAGAAGAAATGGATGACGCAGCACGGACTGAAAATCGCGTTAGATAAAACCGAAGCCATCATTCTTAAGGGAACAAGGAACAGGCAAAGTATTGAATTAAAATATTAAATAAAAGTATCTAGAAGTGACATTGCACCAGAATGGAAAATGGGGGATCACGTGCGGGAGGTGGTCCGGGAGGCCGCGAATAGTACGGCTGCGTTAGGGAGGGTGATGCCGAACATTGAAGGACCCAAATCCGAAAGGAGGAGGGTCTTACACGGTGTTGTACAGTCGATCGTCCTCGACGCGGCACCCGCCTGGAGCGAGGCGGTAGAGATAACGCCCTATAGGAGTCTCATGAGACAAGCGGACAGAACAAGTCTGTTGCGAGTGGCATGCGCCTACAGGACTGTGTCTGCGGCAGCCTTATGGACCATTACTGGATGTGTTCCGTTGCATGTTTTTTTCGATGGAAAGAAAAGAGCTTTATGAGAGGCTTTATTAAGAGGCCTAAAACTTACTGTGGCCGAGAGAAGAGAAGAAAGGGAAAGGTCGGTTGAAAGATGGCAGAAAGAATGGAACAACACGTAGGATGTGGCACAGTGGACGAAAATGCTGATCCCGAACATAAGATATTGGGTGGACTGTGGCCACTGGCGGGTGGATAATTTCCTAACGCAGGTGCTCACAGGACACAGGTGTTTAGGGCCTACCTCTATAGGAGCGGAAAGGCTGATACAGATGAATGCCTATACTGTGGATACTCGGACACTGACACATACGATGTTAGATTGCAGCAGATGGATAGTGGAAAGAAACAGAAT